TCCTAAAATTACAAAATTGAAGATTTTTCCTTCAAATGAAATTTTTACTTTATTCCCGAGACCATTCACTTCAGGTTTAGAATTTGTATTTTAAATCTTAAAAATCTTGAGCATAATAAACCTCTGGAGAGAAAAATAAGCTGGCATGATGTGGCTCTGTGCCCTGGTAGAAAGCTATCCAATTATCATTTCTAATTGTTGCTTTACTGGTTATTCAAATGATAAGCTTTATGATGTGAATCTTTATTCTTTCTGTGGAGGTGTTTCGCATACATAAACTAGTAGAGCTACAAAAGCACAAACATTCTCGCATTATTTGTAACTGCGCCGCTATATTACACTATTATGTAAACTTGCGAAAGTATTTTCAACCAGCAAATAATATTTCTGCCCCAGACCCGAACTCAGATCTTCAGTTAACTTTCCGACACCCATACCATAGAAGCGCCGTATGCCAATCACCTTCCTAAGAGCGAGTAGTAATAATATTCTGAAACTTTAAAAATATAATTGTAAAAGAAAAACTACATAGTTTTGGTCCCATGAGTAGTGTCTACAATATATTTAAATTGCACGTTCATAGATTAATTAGTATTCAGTTAAATCGATTCATATCGGTGGATATATTAATTTCTTTGTATATGTGTCATTTTATTTATTACTCATCTTGAATAGACAAAGTAAATATTCATAAACATCCGAAACAAAGCAAGCCCGAACACGCACTGTCTCGACAGATCACCTCAACGAGTTCTTAGTTCAAAAAGTTCTGTTAAGGTACTGTCTGCATTTTTCTTTTCGTATTAACAAAATAGACCAACGAGTTAGAATATACCACATGTATAGAATATAGTATATTCTAGCTCGTTGGGATAGACAGACATAAATTGATTTGACGTCACACGTTTTAGAAATAAAATAAGAGTTGAAACATTGTTTAAAAGTTGCAAATTGTAAAATAAGATACAAGAGTCACTCAAAGTCAAATCGCACACTCACAAAATATCACTTTTTTAGCGACTTGAAACTTTTTTATGTCTAAGGTTGAAAAAGGGTTACACGCATTTTTTCTAATCCCACCCCTTTCAGAAAAATTACCAAGTATTTTTTCCAAAAAATCATGTGCGCGGTAATGATTAAAACACTTTTGCACAAATACCGTTTTCTTCAGAAAAATAACACTTAAATTTAACTTACAAAGATGTACTTTCATATGATATAAAATATTGTGTGTTAACATTATTTGAATATTTAAAATAAATTTTAATTTTTAAAAGGCAATTAGGTCGACAAGTAAATTAATTATAAAAAATACTTATGTACTTCTACACTAATGTATAGATCTGCCAAATTTCAAAGTGGGACACGTATAAATAACATTGAAAAAATAGTTTGTTCACCGGAGCACGAAGGCAGCCCGCTGCCCGCCGTACTCGCAACTCGAACTCTGGGGCGCCGATGTCACGCCGCATCGTGACGTCCGACAGAAAACAACTGTGAGACTCATGTTATGTTATAAATTACGGAAATACACATACGCTCTCAAATGGAAGTCTTCTGACGAAATGCAACTATTAAGCATATTTATAAACCGTTGGTATTGCTAGGGTCTGCCTGAAACATAGCAGCCTTCTTTCTCGGCTACACTGAGTCAGTTGTGTAAATGGAGGAATACGCGAAACATCTGCGTGGATCTATGAAGTAACAACAAATGGTCTTACAATAATGTCAATACTATTGTTATTTGCATTTTCGTATTATAAAATGTTATAATTGCAGAAGAAGTGTACGTTTAGATTGTTACAGCCAGCATTCTTGAGAAGTTGAAAGTTGACTGGTTGCCGTCCAAGAAGCTATGTGTATTCGAAAAGCTGGTTTTCAAAATTTATTCTCGCGTCGAGAATTTATAAGATTTTTCAAGAAAGTGAGAATCGACCATACTTGTTAATGCCGTAAATATGTTGGGCAGTGTCAATGATGAATAAACATGCTGTACTGTCATACTAACGTATCACCTGATACGAGTAATAGAGAAAATGTCCGAGTTCGTCTCTTGTTTCTTCTGCTGTCTTCTCCCATTGTTTACCGTCTTCTGCTTTGTTCACGAGACTAAAATAAAAATTGACTTTGTTTTCACTTGTCCAGTGTGACTTTGTTAAGAAAATAATTCTTTCGTACTTGATGTTATTCAGAGACTGTTGTGAATTAATGTCTTAGCTGCTCTGCATCCTTTTGTGCTATACTTCAGAGAAAGAAAATGATTTAAAAATATAATATTTTTCTGGATGCCTGAAACACGAAACAAATTCAATTCATCCCTTTCAGTGTAAATTCATAACACTTCTCAAATAATTTTATGACAGTGTTAACAGACATACTTTTCGGATGGGCTCAGTGCGTAGTAATACAAAACATTGCGAGTTTACGCTTCCTCAAAGATACCTTCAAAGTGAGAGGCCGAATGGCATTTCTTCGCTTCGCGACCTCTTATGGAGAGGGACCTTGCGATGTAGGGATGCCCTCCTGTGGTCTACTGTAATATTCTCGATAGAAGAAAGCCTTCAATCCTGACAGGAAGCTATTAATTTACCCATGAAGTTATTTAAGGGGGCTGATAATGTGAATATTACCTTTATATTATTTTTAGCAACGCTGAACAATACTTAGAAAGAGGACTATTGCAACAATGCTATAATAAAAACAAACAGTAGAAGACACAAAGAAAATACGTAGTCTCGTTCCTTTATGAAAAGTGAATTAACAATATCATCTGTAAAGTGAAGTAAAAGAAATATCAACGTAATTAACTGCATCACATACTCTTATTCGAATAAATATTCCGACCGTTTATACTAAAGTGAATCCGTTTGATACTTTTTATTTTGAATTTAATCGGCTAGGAAGTTCATGTGTATATGACACATTGTAAGATCGGAAAGAATACTATTTATTACTCTGTGAATGTATATTACTGGTAATCGTCTACTGTTGATTGGCACGTGCTGGAGGGGTGATACTCTAGCAGACGCTGCAGCAAGTAGACATTTCTATTGTATTTAATTTCTCAGAATCATCTGATTTCCCACATTGTAGTTTTCCAAACTTATAGAACTTTTCGGTGATTTCAATGGTATTTTCAATTATTTTTAACTTTGGGAGAAATAAAATAAATAGTTTAACATTTTTTTCTTTAATGTCACAAAATATTTAATTTCTGTCACTATTACAACATGAGTGTTTTGGAAGTACTGTATATGCCATTTTTTGAAGATCCGATATTCTCGACAGAGTTATTTACGCTACCCGAAGACAAAGTTTGATCAAAAAATTTGATGCCGTTTTTGAGAAAATTTTGAAAATGTTTTTGAGCGTTTATGTGAAATTCCCTCAAAAAAACTAATATCCGTTTGAAACTCCCAAAGCCACAAGTTCATTCAAATCGATTGGGGAACATCAGTTTTGAAGAAAACAAAATTTGCTTAAAACAAAAATCGCTATTTCCAGTTTTGTAGTTTTAAAATGTTCCCTTTTCTATAATTTTCGAAGAAACGGAGCAATAGCTGAAAATGGGACTAGCGCCATATTTTTATTGCCCCTCATTACATACGAGGAAAAAATTTAATGAAAAAATTTGGAGCGGTTTTTGAGGGGGGAAAATCGCATGTATTTCGCGCAAAATTACATGGAAACTACTTAAACTTTCGAAAAATTGAATATGAGCTTATTTAAAGATCCGTCTTTAAGGAATAGATTTCATTAAGGAAAAAAATCTCCAATCTTCAACATTATAGTTTGAGGAAGACGCCCCCAAAAAACTGCGCTTTTTCAGTTTTCAAAAAATCTGTGATTTGAACGAACCACCATTCTCTTAAGAGTTATTTACGCTACCCGACGACAAAGTTTGATCAAACAATTTGGTGCCGTTTTTTAGAAAATTTTGAAAATATTTGTGAGGTTTCATGTGAAGTACCCTCAAAAATCAAAATATCCGTTTGAAATTCCCAAAGCACGAGTTCATTCAGATCGATTGGGGATTATCAGTTTTAAAGAAAATCGGCTTTAGGCGCTAGCTTTGACGTCGATTTCTCAGTATCAAGGACCCACAAAACGGATTCAGGCTACACCACGAGTTAGAGGATTTACCCCTTAAATTTAGCGACAGGAGATATCTACGTTTTTCGCCTCGAGGGACTGACAATAAGAGTGTTTCTGTCAAAAATTCATTGTTTACATAATTTTCTCATCTTCATAAGACGAGATTCGAAGAACTTCATAAGGCGAGAAAGTTAAAAAAGAGAAGTTAATGGTTTCAACTATAATGACTGAAGAGAGAGTTTACTACATCTGTTATTGTTAGTGGTATATTACAGTGATACATTGAAGTGAAAATAAGCTCTAATGTCTTTTTTTGAACATAAATGCTCCAACTTCATGGAATAACTTGAGAGATGAGCAGGAACAAAATTAATGACAAACTCTTAACATTTTATGTATTTTAACAGGGATACTATTAAAAAGATAATTTAATATTGCTAAAAAAAGTAAAAATAAAAATAATACAGTCTAATTTTCCAAATTTATCTTCAACTGAAAAATGTTAATGGTCATCATCAAATTTCTTTTTTCTTTTTTTCCCTTTTTTTCAGGTTCTGTAAGAAAAAAGTTTGTTTGATTTTTTTTTTTAATTGTCATTTGAATGAGTAAGTTATTTTCAAGTGACATTGAATTGTACATGTATGTATATAAAATTGTTGGTTTTTCTCAAATTTGAAATTTTTTAAAGCATGAAATAGTTTGAAAGTAACTATGTTGTAATGGTTCACAAATCAGCATTTAATTAAAATTATTTTGTAATAAAGAGAAACTTGTGCCTAGATCTTAAGGTGCGAACTTGGTGCTATTTCACTTTAAAAAGGGGCCAACTTGATGCTTTGGCTCCTCTGCGTATTCATATCATGCAATTAGAGGAGCATTGCTTCACATATTATTTGTTTGTGCAGAATACCAGGCAACGTGCTTGGTGCTGAAGGAGTTGATGAGGCAGAGGAAAGGGAGAAGGAAATTCCTCGGCAACTGCACAATCAATATGGAGAATATAATGGGGACAATGGGGAGTATGAGAAAGAACGCCACGGAGATCTTCAACTGGAAGAAGGTGAGGAAGAAGGTAAGCAAATTTCACATTGATATAATACTCAGAAAATAGTAACACTAGTATTCTTTGGAGACCTTCTAATACATGACTCATTTGCAGTATGCTTATTTGCAGTAATAAACTATTATTAATTTAAAAAAGTGACCCTTGTTTTTTCTTATTCACAGAAGATGATGATGTGGACCAAATTGACTATGCCAATGACAATGCAAATGGGGCTGATGCGAGACAGAAGCGCCTAAACCTTAAAGAATCTGTTCCAAATGTGAAGAAACATGACAGTGTGATGGTGAACCCTAAGTGAAATATTTCTCTTGAGTAAAATTTGAGGACTATGGACCTAGTGTCTACAGAGAAGGAATATTGTTTTGTGTTTGTGTGTCTGGGATACTTCAAGTCTGAATTGTTGATGGTTGTGTGATTGGCTATTGCTGTGTGATTTGTGGCTGGAGAAGAACTTGGCTCTAGTGACTTGTACAACTAAAAGTGAACAGTAGGCAACACCACACTATGAGCTGAGAGCTCAGTCTGTTCTTGGATGACTTCCTGCCAAGACCTGCTGCATGCTCAAAATATTTATATATAATTAAATTCTTTGATAGAATTGTCCTGTTAAATGGGGGGTGGCAAGCATTGCACTAACAATAATTATTACAGACATTAAATTTCCCATTGGCATTCAGCCCAATAATTGACATTAATTGACTTTGGTGAATACTACTGTGGACTTTGAAGCTTCATTACAAAACTGGTAAACTGCATCTCATTACAGTTTAAATGCCAGATTAAAAAATGTTTATCAAGTACATTGTCTTCAGATATTATTTACCTGCCTAATTTTCATTCTTAAGGTTTCTTTTTTGTATAACCTTGCCCTTTCCTCATCTGTTTTATATCATATTTCAGTAAAGTCTCTATTCAGTTTTATGAACATTGTTCACTATTGCTAAAATTTACCCATAAAGAAGGCCAGATTCATGTTGAACATGAGAAGAGTAAAGTTAGTATTGTATTTGTATATTGTTCTTCTTGTTAAGAGTACTAGCATCTCATTATTCCATTATCTGATAATGCAACATTTTTTTTACTTTAAACATAATTAAAAAAATCAGACTGAGCCATAAAATTAATTATTGTTGGTGAATTCTTTTTAACTTGTATACATAGTTTGAGAAAGGTATGTAATGATGCAAACAATCAATGTCAAGATTTTTATGAAAATACATTTTTAGGAGGGATCTCTGATATTGAAAGAGTAGTTTTTTCAAAACATCTGTATGCATGGGAACATCACCTAAACAGTTAGCACAAATTTCATCAAATTGATATTCTCTCATCAATCTGGCTGATATCACGGTCCCTGGAATTTGATGCGGACATTTTAATTTTTGGGAGTACATTACATGAAGTTCCAATGACATTATCAAATTTTTTTATATTGTTCAAATTATTTCATGGTAGCATTTTTTTAAATATTAGTTTTTGCATGATTTTGAGTTATACGGTGACAATGTTCAATTTTTTCAAACCTGTGCCATAACTTTAATACTGTAGTTGGAAATTTATTTCTTAATGTAATTTATTTTCCATTAACAAACCTTTAATTAATTTCATATAAACTTTTTTCAAAATATTGGTGAGTTGTGCGTAATTTTGCATTATATCATTTCAATTTATCAAGTGATGGGTAGAGTGTTAGTTTGATAGATCAGGCAATATAACAACACCCAATTATTACCAATAAAATGAGAAAGATTTTTTTATTGAAGAACCATTATTTTTAGTTTTCTTGAAAGTGTTATCGCAAATACTGTAGCATTTATTCATGATCAAATGATAATCAACATAATAAATACCGGTACATCTCATCCAAGTGTAAGAATTGAAGCTCCAAAACTAATTTGCATCATTAATTATTTCATCTATTTGTTGATATTTATTACAAATTATCCTTGAAATGTAGCATTCATGAGTTTTTTCTAATAATTTTATTTTGAATTCTAAAGAAGATAAATTTTATTTTATTTTCTCTGACTTGATTTTCAGTCAGTAAAAAAAATAAATGAAAAGGCTGGACTTGAATGCATAAAATATAAGCATTTGCAGTTCATTTAGATAGGACTTTTTTAACAAAAGGATTGTGGTCACTGAAGGTGTATTATAAATATTTTTTGGAGTAGTGAAATATTGAAAATTATTTTCAATCCAAAGCCCACAAAAGATATAAAATGTATAAAGCAAACAATGTACATAGCTACTATTATATCTTATACATAAATATTAAAGCATAAGAAACTAGTTTGCATAAAAAATTTTAAAAAAATTAGCACTGAAACTAATGATTACATTTGGTCTTTAAAAGATGAAATGCAAATTTTAAGGTTTTATTTAAGATTTTTCTTTAACTTTTAATGTAATTTAAAATGTACAAAAATGTATGGTATACAAAGGGGTTGCAAAAACAGAAAATTCAGACAGCTGAAATTCGAAACAACTTTAAGAATTAATGGCCTTTACATGTTATGTAAAATAATAGTTTTTATTTGCTCTGCTAAACTGTATTTTATAATAAAATCTTAGCACATTTTCAACATTCATTCATTTTGATGTCACTTTAAAAATTATAAGTATCCTTTTGTAATGTCACATGAAGAGCTATTAGGTTTTTTAACATCAGAAATTTGGGATGTATATTTTTAAATTGCCCGAAAGTACTGCGTTTACTTTTGTTGCTTACTAAATAAAATAACTGAAGCACTTTGTTAATTTGGTTGAATATACAGCAAAGCATTATAGTTCACAAACCCACAATAACATCTCTCAACTTTTTCAGTTTTGATCAATTATCCGAAAACATTTTCCTTTATGTGCTGATTATTTTACTATCAATGCTTCTGGCAAATACCAACTAAAAATTTGCATTTCTTTATAACTCCATTTCAAAAATACAAATTATATAGTATAAATGGTGTGTTTTTTTCTTAAAAAAGAATATCATGGATCATTATTCATTTAATTATTAACATGAAAAGAAAAGAATTATCATTGTATTAATAATTGAGGCAAGTGTGCTCTTAAACATATATATCCAGTACTTTATTATATGATGGATAGAATCACTAACTATTCTACATTCTAGTGTGATTCTATTTTGCAAAAAATTTATTTAGTATTGTATATGAAACTGATTTAGAATAAGACCCAAATAGTGAATTGAGTAGATTTTATTAGTGTAAGTATAAGTTTCTGAAACAATTTTCTGAAAAAGCACTATTAAAAGAATGATTTATAGCAAATTAGTTTTCTGAGATGTATATTTTCTACTGTATATTTTTAATTTTGTATTGCACAAAGTATTTCTGTTTTTCATATTTTGTAAAATGAGAATATTCACAAATAACTTATGAACTGTTGGCCTGAAAGTAAATTCTTGATACGAGTCTTTCATCAATATCCTGAGGCTTTTCTGGAATAAACTTCTCAGAATTAAGACTCGGGTTAGATGCTGCACAACTGCCTTTCTGTTTGTTTGTGTGCTAGGCAGAGCACCAATGAAGTTTTTGAGAAGTTCGTTTAAAAGTCCCAAAATCCCTTAAAAATGAATGTGCAATATTTTTAGTTTTATGTTGGTTCTGATTGATAAGCCTCATTTACCAGTATGTTCCAGCTCAAATGTAAAAGAATAATTTCCATTAATTTTGTCTTATTATTATTATTGATTTCAGTTCTACACGTTTGTGACAATTATTAAAAGTTTTGTAGCAAAGTTTGTTTTTCATTTGCATCATCGGGAAAGGTATATAGATAAATAAGAGGCAATATTTGAAAAAATCTAAACATATGTGATAAAACAATGTTTAACATTTTCTTATTTGAACAGTAAAAAGAAGTTTAAAAAATCTGTATTTTAATAGAATGAATTGTTTTTGAATAATGGATGCTATTTAATTCTCTTGTAATGCTGCAAATTTAGGATTATATTACCTATAAACTTGCTTTCATCCAATTTTCATGTTAAGGTGTATTGATATATTGTATATTTAACATGTAAGAATTTGAATTCTTTATGGCAAGATTTCTTTTTGCCATCTGACATTCATCTATGTAAGGAAAGAGCATTAATGGTGATATTGTTGTAATGAAACATTTCAATCTTAAGGGAATAATAGAACCTGAATTCTTTTTAATTTTTAACCATTTTTGAGCTATTTGAAATCCTATGAAACAAAACCTATGATTTTAAGCCAGACTGGCAGCAAGAAGACAACAAAATGTGTAATATTGTTTGGTATTTATTTAATCAGAGATTGACTGCTCTTAAAAGCTTCCTTTTATTCAAAATTATTAGATCATCAAATCTCTCACTTTGCCTCCAAAATTGTGAGATAATTTTTTAACATCTATTTTTTATAAAAAATAGAGTGTTTGAATTATCAGTAATAGGTATGTGGCCAATACTGATTGACTGAAGCAGATAAATTATGTGAGTGTTAAGAATGAAATGTTAAATATGGATGTAATGTAGATTTTAATCACCTTGATTTTTTTAACTCTGATATTAACACAACTTTTGTCAGGACATAATTTGTACTGTGAGCATATGTTTAATGTTCTTCCATTTCAAATATTTAATATTATCATCATCTATGATTTTAATTAATGTTGAAAGAAAATTGTGATTATACTTCTGAAGTGAAAATGTTGATAATTATTGTGCTGATAATTTACCATATTACATGTTTGCAGTATTTTTCATGTTTCCTACCAGATTGAACACATATTCATTGAATTTTATTTTTAGAAATAATTTGAAGTAATTTGAATATCTTCCTTCAAGTTATGTATACCTGTTGTCTCGCACAAAATTCCTTCTGTGCTTAATCATTTGTAAATATGGACAGCTTAATGTGCCGCACAAGTTAGAGCATTAAAAGTCTGGAGTGAATTGAATGAGTCTGCTTTTGGGAAATTGTAATAAGGAAAAGGTGATAATGTAGAGCTTCTACAACCAGCCACAAGTCAACTCTTCCATGTATGGGTGTTATAAATTTCCTTAATTTTATTTTTTGTCCTCATCATTTGGTGAGCCTGTGTTTAAGGGGCCATATAATGTGCTGTGATCCCTGAATGTTAGGGATGCAGCATACTTGTATACTTAGGTGTCCTACTTTTATGCTGAAAAGGCTGTTAGTGAGAAAATATTTAATTCACACTGGCATTAATAGGTTGTGATTTTTATCAAATGTGTACTCCACCACAGTCATAAGGTCTTATAACCCTTATATATACTAACAGGTGGAGTAATGTAAAAATGTGATGTACGGTTTCAAGTGTTAGTTTTCACTTGTAAGAAATCAGAAAATTGCCTTTGAATACACCTATTTGTTATTGTTAGACTTTTAATGTGGTGTAAGTGAATGGGATAATGCTGAAGAGAAAATCTTAGCAATGAAATGAAATAATATTGCTACTAAAAATTGTCTTCTCATTTCTGTAATAAATCTTTTACCTTTGGTCGACTAAGAGTTTTTGTATATTTTTAGGCATTATCGTATAATAATGACGTTATTACAGTTGTAAATTACAGACATATCTCAGGGAGTCATGGTAGGTCAATAATAAGTCATAACTGATGCTTTTAATGCATGGAAGATAAGGGAGATAAAAATTAGTAAAATTTGTTTCCTTATCATTAGCAAGTAAACATAAATAAATCACACATAAAACTATTTTTCATTTCAAAGCAAAGTTTTATCAAGGGCTTAGTACTATTCTGCTTTTTTAAATTTTATTCTCATTTATATTGTGCCAGTTGAACCCATGTGAACATTTCACACTTTGTAAATAAGGTTTTAAAATTGAAAATTGCCTCATTTTGGAAGTCGAATTTGAACAACCTGCCTTGGAATGTGTGTTTCAGCATTTAAGTCCCAGAATTGTGAGCAGGAAAATAATTTAATACTGCTTAAATATTTTAATAAGTATTTAACAAACATATAAAGACTTAAACCTATGATATTAAATTGCACAGCACATCAATTTGCCAATTTCATTGTACTACATAGATATCAAGATTCTGCAAAATTTTGATCGGTCATTCTGGGGAATAGGGTGTATACAGAAGAGCTTAACCTCCAAAGATGTAATAAAAAAGGTTTTATTTTGCAGATTACATCGTAAGAAATATAACTATACAATTCCTATGAATTAAAATGAACTCAAATCTATTTGGCACCTGAATCTGTAGCAAACAACCATTTCTATACCAGTTACTACTAAAAAAAACAGCACCTTTAAGACTACCCTACATCAGAACATTTGATCCTTAAAAAACAAAATGCACGAAATAGAAATGACATTCAAATACCATATAAAACACACAAGTGCACTCAGTACAAGTGAACACTGACTTAGAGGATCAAATTAAAATGACACAAATCTCGAGTTTCTACTTAGCTGGTTACTTCTGTCATAAGGACAAACACATGAACAGTATTCATACATATGGAGGCACATGCAGCTTGCCAATAATAGTAATTCCGAAGAAGTAACCGAGTTCAGACAAATAATATGTGACTCAGACATTGAATGTTCAATTGTAGAAATTTCAAAGCTAAATATCTTTTTCCGAAGCATTTACCAAGCTCCTCATGGAAACCTTCAGATATTCTTAAAAAAACATAGAAATAATCTTGGATAAATTATCAAAGCAGGCACTTTAGTCAATCACAATCTGTGGTGATATAAACATTAACTTCTTACCTACAGCTAATATCACTCATGAAAAGGACATAATCAAACTAATAAACTGAATATGCTCATACAATCTAGAAGCAGTAACCAACACACCAGTCTAGGCAATCCAAGAACACCCAATCATCATTAGAACAAATCCTCTTAGACAGAACAAAACACACATACACTATCACCCCTAATGATGATAAGGGGGCTCAGTGACCATAATGCACAAATACTCACTCTTAAAATAAATTCCACCTCACTAAAAGCAAACCCAATAAAGGAGACTAGAAAGTATGATGCAGAAAACTTGAACACTTATCTCATTGTTAACCAATGAATTGTGGTCAGGTACATATGAAATATCCGACATCAACCTAATGTTTAACACTTTTTTTAATACAATCAAACACTATTTCAACATATCACATCCACTACAGTATCACAAAACATGCAACACCCAAAACAGCAAAGCATGGATAACAAAAGGTTACAAACAAGATGTAATGAATTATAGACCAATTTCACTCTTGTCCAGATTTTCAAAAATATTAGAAAAACTCTTCTTTGAAAGGTTCAAAATCTACTTGATACCCTGTAACATTATCACTAACTCATAACATGGATTTAGGGAAAATCAATAAACTGAAACTGCTATATTCACATTTGTAAATGAAATCCTTGTGGCATTAGAACAAAAAGAAATTCCTGTTGGTCTCTTCCTTGACCTGTCAAGGGCCTTTGACACAATAGACCATAGAATTCTATTGACAAAATTAGAATCTTATTTAATCTGAGGAATTGCTTACAAGTGGATAAAATAATATCTAACAGACAGAAAACAAACAGTAGTGTTACCTTACCAAAAAAGACAACATAAAAAATATTCTGAACCAAGGAATGTGACCTATGGGGTTCCATTTGAATCCACTCTAAGCCCGAATTTGTTTCTTGTATTTGTGACCTGCCATTAATAATGGAAAACAAGAAAACTGTACTTATTGCTAATGACACTAAAATAATATTCAAAGAAAGAACAACCAAAGCTTTACAAGGCAAAGCCAATTCAACAAGCTTTACAAGCCAAAGTCATTGACAAACTAATTAAGGTAAGTAAATCAAATTTTGATACAATTATATCTGGTACAAGGATCGATGCTTGGACCTTTGCTATTTCTATTATATGTTAATGATATTCCAAGCTCATCTGATTTCTCTGTAATGTCTTATGCAGATGATACAACATTAATAAGTAGTGGGCAAAATCTTTGTCATCTAGAAGATAATCTGACAATCATTAAAATCAATTAAAAGTTATTTGTCCATAAATGAATGAAATTAAACGTTGATAAAACTGTTTTAATCCACTTCAAGTTTCATCATGGTCACCAACACCGAAACATAAAAGTGGAAGTAGACAATGAATCAGTGAACCAAACTGATTGTCATAAGTTCTTAGGAATATTCATAGATCAAAACCTAACTTATAACAAACAATTTGATTCAATTTGTAATAAAATAAACTCTAATATATTCCTCTTGAGGTACTTTTCCAGATACCTTGTAAATCGATGCTCTTATTTCAGTATATTATGGGACAATCTTCTCTCAATTTCAATATGGCATTGAAATTTGGGGTGGTATAACACAAAAAAAATATGAATAGATTAATGGTCCTACAAAATAAATGTATAAGAAGCATTTTTAAAATGAATCCCAGACAGTCCTGTAAAGATTTCTTTATGCAATATGAATTACTCACTGTTATAGCACTCTACTCTAATGAAGTATTATTACTATTGACAAATAATCAAAATCAGTATTTTGTGAGCAATAAAGAGATACATAACCACCATATTAAAGGACATAGGATCTACCACAGGATATACACTAGCAAGTCTTCAACTAACAAAGATCCTTTCTGCATTTCTGCTCAGCTCTTTAATAAACTCTCAGTTAAAATAAAAACTGTTCATGATAAAAACTTCAAAACACTGCTTAAATGTCATCTTATTAGTGTGTGTCCATATAATATATCTGAATTGCTTTAACTTTCTGTAATTAAAAACCATGTACCGCTACAAGAGTGACCACTCTTTGTACCTGTCATCATTCAGTCCAATAAGGCAATGTACTATTTAATAATGTAGTAAATAAAGTAATTATAGGTAAATATTGTAATGAATGTAATAATTATCGTTAATCGTACATCTAATGTATTCAAGTTATTGTTAGTTAATTAAACTGCTACTGTAAGATAAGGAAATCACTTACTATAATTGTAAGCTATTTGCCACTGTATCATAATCTACTAATTTATTGTTAATGTTATTTGATGTGTTAATGAGGCTTTGTGTAGTTTAAAATGTAATTTACCTTAATGTTTTTTATGAGCAATTGCATTATTATTCATGTAACACATTAAGTAAACAATTTGTATCATTACTGTAAGTTATGCAATTGAATGTAATTCGTTATAACTTTCTGTGTGTACTTTCTCATTCAAGACGCTGATTGCTCTTGCTAATTTCTTCGAGCAATTTTGTCTGGGAATGAGGATAGGCGCGTTCAGTGGGTCAGTCCTTCAAATTCCGCAAGTGCGACTGCAAATTCATTGCGGAATTTCCACCTCTTCTCTACTCTTATCATCCATACTTTCTGACATGCTTGTCCCATTGTCATCCTGAGTTTGCACAGCTGATATCTCCACTGCCCTCAGATTACTAGGTTCTGAGGAGTTTAGCATATTTCTCACTTCTTCCTTGATTGCTTCCAAAACTGGTGCAGAGAGAGATTTTTCTGAACAATTGCTCGACGCTGGTCCGCTATTCTTTGCTCACTAACTTCAGAATCAGGGAAACGGTGAAAGAACTTTGATGTAACTTTTGTCGGTAGCCGTAGTGTCCAGTCTCCAGTTGGTAATGGTGTAGTATTCACGCATGATGAAGGTATTTATTTCTATAGTCCACTTTCATCCTTCTTGCGTTGCCTGCCTGCGGCATGGGTCTCTGGAAGCAATAGATTGCTTCTCTGGGAAGCCACTTGCGGTAGGTGCAGCTATAAGTGGAGATGGATGGGTGCTGCTATGTTCGGCTGTAGTATATTCGGGGTTATCCCCGATCAGGGCCCGCCTGTTCAGCTCCTTGATCACCACCGGCTCGCATGCTGTCACTCCCAGCGTGGCTCAAAGGTGCCCCGGCACTCCCCAGGCAGAGCGGCTGCTTTTCCGAGGCCTTACGACGCATATTCCGTGGCTCCATATCTCTATGGGTGTGCCATCGCCCTGTTGTGCCGCCAAATTTCCTGACGTTGCCCGTTCTCCCACGTGGCTAAGTTCTCAATTGCTCGGGACGTAGGGCTGGGCTTTGGAGACTTATTATTATTGTTGTTATTATTATTATTATTATTATTATTATTATTATTATTGTTATTATTGTTATTGTTGTCTAGAAGGGGGAGTCATTTTATGGAGACCGATTAATTCAGTACTGTCGGACTCCCGTTCTTGGTTTTACCGTCTAAAACCCTAAACTTTCATCTCCTAAGTCGTCTGATTTCGCGGAAACCGTCGCTAGAACATTACTTCTCGTGGAAGACTGACTGAGCTAGTGCTTTAACTCCTCCGCTCCTTTTCCTTCATGATATTAACTAAGTAGTTATCTGTTATAGTCCACTTCTCCTCCGAACTCAACATCATGTTTCCATCCACCATGTTTTCTGAGTTATCATTGGTTGAAGTTACAAATGTTAACGTTACAAATCTCTCTTTCCGCATCCCATGCCTTGCACTGAAACAGTGTATGCTCTGCATAATCAATATCCTCTCGACATAAGTTACATGTCGAACTTTCTTTAATCTTGTAATCGAAAAGGTATTTACCAAAGCCACCGTGTCCCGTAAAAGCCTAGGATACGTAATAATTCACCTCCCCATACTTTCGACCGACCCATCTCTCAATGTTATTAATTATCCGATGTGTCCATCTACCTTTAGCGTCCACATTCCACCTTCTTTGCCACTCTTCAAAACGTTATTTCCTAGCATCACTCTT